ATTTTCAGCACCTTTCGGTATTGAAATGCTTCCGCATATGTGGAATTAATTCAAAGATTAAGATAATAGGTATGAGTGAAAGATATACTATTTTAATTTGATTTTTTCAAATCAAGATAAGGCTATATGTCGAAAATAATGATTTTCTTTATAAAAATTGATTAAAGACTTTCAAATTCCTTGAATTCGAATCTTTATTCGATTTTCCGGTCAGTGAAGATCTATTTACTAGGGTTTACTCACGTTTCATAACATTAAGCTATTGCTTTGAAACAAACAATTTTGAGACTCAGACTCATCAATATCGAAAACATTGAGTCAAGTTTTATAAAGAAAACGAATTGAAATAGTATGACTATCATTCATAGCTATCACCTTAATTTCCAGTCTAATTTCAAAAATGTATGAACACTATGGTACTCACAACATTTTTTCAGTACCTTATAGTAAAATTTGGTGTTTACATGCTGCACTTACCCCTTGATATTAACATAGTCTATATTCATAGAGAATATGTATATACTTAAGACGCTTATTGATCTTTTTTTCTATTAGTGAACTATTTCATGTCGAAAAAATTTGCAATAAATAGTAGAAAAGTCATTGGATATTGAAGAAATCATATCCATAAGAAACAACAAGCCTAAAAAGACAATCAATCTTTTGTTAGATATTGATATTGATTGTCTTTTATAGCTGTCTAAACTGAATGATTGTTGACAAGAGTTATAAACAGTTGTTAAAACAATAAATCAATCATCCAAACAATGACGTTTACTAAAACGTTTTTATACTAATAACTTTTTTCTTATTATGGAGGTGATAATTACTTCAATATTCGATATTATTATCGTATAAATATTAATGAATATATTTATAATTGAGATCTATCTTATGTATTCATAATTTAACAGAATCTCTTTATTTTTTTATAATTGTATTTTATATCAAATACGATAGTATGTATATTTAACAACAAGAAAACAATTCATTTATAAATTTTCTAGATAATGATTTCTGATTTAATCATTATTATCATAATTATTTGTTCTTTTGAATTATATTCAGTATTAACAAATGATATTAATTTAATTCATACAGAAGAAAATATCCTATATTCACATTTAAAAACTCCATCGGATTTAAATTTATTTTATCAGAAACTTCTTAAATCAAATGAAATTGATGATATAACACGTATTCATCGTATTATAACTCAGGACGATATTCAACAATTCAATTTTGAAAATAAGGTAAGTAATGAAATTCATTTTTATGAAAAAAAAAAAAAACATAAAATAGATGAATATTTGCGTTATATTGTACATACATTCAATAAAAATTACATTATTATATAAACGAAAGATACTCGAAAAATTCTTGTCGTCAACATCTCAGACAACTACCTATGCGATTTAAATCAGACGAAAAATAGTCAGTAAATCGTTCGGTACAATGTGCGCTATGCCGGCAGTAGTACGAGCAAACGTGTAACATGCATAGTCGTTATTTAACTTTTGACAGCAAAACAGAAAGTTGTTAGATCTGTAGAATATACTAGACTTGAGTATGATGCTATAATAAAAATTCATTATTATTTCGGACTTTCTGAAGTCTCGTATTTTCATAGTGAAAACTGCGATCTGAATGGTTGATCTTTTATTTTCTCTATCAATTTAGTTTGAAAATCTCGTTGTAGACGTTACTAACAGGCTAATATTCATTTGCTAGACTGCAATTCTATACTGTTTGTTGATTAGCTAGTACGATCAAAGTTCTGATCACTGTCATTGTAATAAAACTGTGATTTGTCACTAGTAATAATGTAGATCATAAATGAGAAACTGTTTGCAGTCATAAAATCATACTTCGAAAGTATTCGTGTTAGAATTATAAATTCATTTGGAAACTATTCTACATATGCCTAAGATTCATCGTACGAGAGGTACGATCTATCAGTATAGATGGATAATCATTTTCGATGTGTACTAACTAAGATATCAGCATTTGACGAGGAAGTTTACAATTCAAATAATTCAATAATTGACTTACGAAGATATGAGATTTAGTCAAGATATCTTAGCCTTTAGATAAATATTTCTGACATATTTTTAATTATTATGAAAACATTTTTTTTTGTAAACTATACTTAATACATCAAATAATTCTTTATAATTTTCAGTGTTTCAAGTCTTCCAATGATCTATTGAATGCATTCAATATCAAAGCAGATAATATCAGTAGTAATTTAACTCGTATTGATTTGTATCAATTATTACCAGCTTTAGTCAATGTCAAATTTAATGAAGGATGTACTAAATCAGGAGGACGTGTCACATGGAAAAGTATAGGAGAAATGTTTCGTTTTTTTTCTTAATCTTCATATTATTATTATTTGAGATGTTTTAATTGGTTTAATTACTGTAACATTTATAAATTGCTCAGCTCTTTGTGGTGCTATTATATTACCATTTCGAAATAAACCAATATTTAAATGGATACTTAGTGCATTTATTGGCTTAGGTAGAATAAGATTTCTTTATCATTATTATTATGAAATATTTCTTTTAAAAATAATTCTTTCTTTTCTAGCTGTTGGTACACTTACTGGATCAGGAATATTTCATTTAATACCTATGGTTTGTTCTTTGAAGATTTTGTTTTTTTTTTCTAAAAGAAATAATATTTCGTTCTTGTATAATAATAGGCATTTAATATTCCAGATTTAGATATTCATCATAGTTATCTTAATAAAGCTCTTATATCTATGATAATTATTTATATATATTATATGCGTGATCAATTATTGAGAATTTTTTTTAATATTGAAACTGTATGTATTAATATGTTTATTTTTAATAATATGACATATTAAAAATATATTTAGATTGTTTGTACACATACTCATGGAGAAGATGATGCATTAGTAAGTTAATAAAGCTTTTGGCTATGAATTATTTTGTGCTAGTGTATTCATTGATCATTATAGACAAAGCCAAATTCTCATGTTGATTCTATTCCTTCAATGCTTGATAATTCAAAAGGTGTATCTCTTAATTCTGCTAAGGAAGTATGTGTATTATATATTATCAATTTAAAGATTTTTTTTATATTTTATGAATGATTTTATATCACACATAATGTGATTCCATACACGATAAAAAAAAGAAAAGAAACTTTTCGAGTAATATCAAATTTTTTTAGATTCATAGTTTCAGAAGTTAATATTCGAATAAAAATGAAAAAAATTCAGTGTGTAGTATTCGAACATTTAACTTGAAATTTTTGGCTTTTTTCTCTCTGCTTTTTTTCTTGAATCTTTGCTTTAGACTATCACAAATCTAGTATATTGGTATGATCACATTGCGGATAAAGATAAGTTGAGAAACATGCCGTCTCTAAAATAAAAAAACAAATGAAATCAATTTATTTATATATTTAACATGTATTAATTTTAGTGAAAGATCTAGAGATTCTAATATTTGAGAAATATTGATTATTGCTTGCATGATGTAACATAATTGATTTTAATAAATACGTACATATCTGATTACGTGTGAGACGCATGAAAAGTAATTTATGCTTATAGATTTTGAATAATTTACCTTCATCAAATTGAAATAGAAGTTTTAAATAATTCATCTTTTATTGTATTGTTTTTTTTTTTAATAGCCAGTATTTCACAAACATCCACGTGGATTAATTCAAAATTTAAAAAGAATGAAAGCAGCTGGATGGATGATATTTATTGGAGATATGTTACATAATTTCATCGATGGTTTAACATTAGGTGCTGCATTTATGGTATCCATTGGTGAAGGTCTTCAAGTATCTTTACCAATAATATTTGAAGAATTTCCTCATGAACTTGGTGACATTGCAGTTTTACTTAGTAGTGGTTTAACTATTGGACAAGCATTAATAATGAATTTTTTATCTGCATGTAGTTGTTATTTTGGTTTTATAATTGGTGCTAAATTAGGTATGCATAAACTGAAGTTAGAATAGAAAAAAGAAACAAAAAAATAGTTTTATTTTAGGTGAACTCGAACACTTTCATCCATGGATTTATGCATTAGCTGGTGGAATGTTTGTTTATATTGGTCTTGCTGACATGGTATAGTATTTTATTTTGATTTTTTTTTATTACATAACGAGTATATATTTGTATAGATTCCAGAACTTGTAGCCATGGGTGATGAAATTGAAAAAGATTATATTGAAGCAAAAAAACCAATAACAACTGTTTTTAAGCTCAAGATATTAATATGTCAGAACAGTGGTTTAATATTAGGATTTATTATAATGTTTTTTCTTGGAAAATACGGTGAACATTTAGAAAATTTAGTCAAATCATAAGAAATGAACACTTTCTTTTGGATTCATTTATTTTTTGTTTCATAGATGAAACTACCTAAATCCGTCCAATTATTCTAGGTTTTTTTTCATTTCTTTGAGGTAAGAACAAAATAAGGATCTGTAGATGTTTATCTGCCTTTTTTTCTTCACGTGAGAAATTTTCCTCTCTTCTTTTTTTTTTTTTTTGTATTAATTTTCTTAGTATTTTGTTGTGAGTGCATTTGTATGATTTAAAAAAAAGAAATGAACCAATATTCTTTATAATTTTTGTTTTTTTTTTCATGACAAATATGGATGCTAAAATCGATAGAATTGCATATCTTTTGTCGATAGATGTTCCGTTGTCAAGAAAATTTGTCCGATTTATTTCGTCGATAACTGATTTAGTCAATGATGTATTTTTGATCTGCATTATAAATGTCTATATTTTGACAGAAAACGACATGCTACAATCTTTTTTTTTGACTGATTAATCAAAAAGTATTTCCTTTCGAAAGACAGTGACAATAAGGTCAATGAAACTTTCATCAGTTCAAATTTGATTCACTTTAGCGTGGGTGTGGATGAAAAATATATCCAAACCAACATCTATACGTTCTCGCTTTTGATCGCAATGAAGCATTGAATCGAATTAAAAACAGAACCACTCAATTGTTCTTCGTACTGACCTTTGACTCTTTCATCTCATTATGTATATTCTTATTAGTTTACCACTTCTATACGTTATTTTCTCTTTTATTTTGTTGAATAAGCATGTAGTACATTCAAAGCCTTGAGTAAAATAAAGTTTCAAAAAGAAGTATCAACTTAACCAGAAGTGCGGCGAAGTCAAGAAAATGAGTTCGAGATTCAAGAGTCAATCCAAATACTAAAAACTTCATTTCAAACTCCATAATGTATTTCTTGATTTTTTTTTTCGCTTCTCTAGTGAAGTAGAACGTTGTTTCTGACAATTCATCTTACCAAACCTGTGAAATTTGGGTTATTGAAAAAGAAAGTAGATCAAAAGCTTTCAAATCTGCTCTGTAACTTTACTCCAAAGAGGCTGAATGCAAATCCAAACCAAATCCCAAAGCTCTTAGTCTTAAATCTTCAATCTGTTGTGAATTTGTTGTACTTTTGATATTGGGAAAATAAGGGCAAAGTAGGCGATATTTTAGAATATAAGTACTTGTTTACAAAATTCCTGTCGCCGAACAATGTTATTATTATATCCGTATAAAGGTGTCAATGTTAAAATTTATTATTTCATAATTTTATGATAGAAATCAGATGGAAATATTCCAAGTATAGCATGATTTTGCAAGTATATGAACACAAGATACATTAAATTTATCATTGAAATTTTTGTTCGTGTTGGTTTATATTGTCAATAAAGAATTGAAGATTAATTGATTGTATTGTAGAAGAAATAAATTTTGCAGTTAAAACTTGACGGATTTGTATTTCAAATGAGAAAGCGAGTCATGGTAACTTGAGGAACTCCTGAATCTGAAGTGATATTGCGAAATGATTTTTTGTTTGAGCTTGTAGTTGAGTTCTGTACACATTGAACTGTACCAGAAAAATCTGTTTCAATTAAGTTTCTAGACTATTTTTCAGAGATTTTAAATTGAATTTCAAGTTTTTTAAATATATATTTGATAGAATAAATTGTTCTCTTTTGAGCTACAAAAATTCAAGATTTTACACTTGTACTGTTCAAGAGTTGTAAGGATTCTTCAGAGACGGTAGACTTTGACTAATTTGCTTTGGACTGTGTAACAAAACGGTCTAGAGTGAAATAATTTACTGCTTTGAGTCAAATAGTGAAGTTTGTCTTCAGCTTCAAAGCAGTCTATAATTATTGTATCCAGATTCTCTAAATATTTACTGTTAATGTTGCATAAGTGGAAAATTTCAAATCACGTAAATTCGGAAATGATAGTGGTAAATCACTTTGAAACTGATAATAAACTTTGCTAATCAACTTCGTATGGTCAATTACTCCTATTTCAATCTATTTTTTCCGTAAGTTATCTAAACTCGACCATCTCTGAACAATCTTTATAATTCGTTAAGAGTATAAGCTAGAAATATCAGATTTTTCATATTTTGAAAAAAGAACAAATTTTCTCTTTTGACTGGTACTTCTACACAAAAACCTTGAACCTTGAAAGTACAAAATTTATTCTCTTGTGAAATTTCTATCATCATCATATATTTTAAATGATTTAATATGTGCAACATTTTTCGATTCATACAGAATTATTTACAAATTCTACTGAAGTTATCTATTAAACTCAAAAAAAAAATTTAATTGATAATTTGATTTTTGCTCCATACAAAATCTTTGTATTCAAAAAAAAACACTTTCATAGAAGAGAAAATTTTTTAAACTTTAACATAAATAATATGAGACTGAGTTCTATGAACATCGTTTATTTTATTTTTTTAAATCAATTCTTCTTAAGTTTCTTTTTTATGACTTTTTACAAACTCCTTCAAGTGCAAATCTATCGAATACAAAACAGGTAAGTTCAGGGTTAAAAAATTGAAATATCTATCGACATCTATCAATTTAAATAAATGATTAACCAATAAAAATCGTCACAAAATCGAACAAAGAAAGTTGTTTCATTTCTTTTTTCTACAAGCATTTTTATTATTGATTATAGTTTAAAAAAAAAAAGAGTAAAAGAAATCAATGGCAACATCATCATCAGGGAGTATTCCTGATGTATTACCATCACAAGTATTAAGTGTTAATCCAAGTTTACCTACAAATAAACTTCTTGATAATTTAACTGTAACAAAAAAAAAAAATTTTTCCTTTTTTTTTTTACGTTTTTAAACAAAAATTTTCTTTAGAAAAATCAAAGACTTCTACAATCATTACCACAAAATTATGAAAAACGACATTTTTTTACAGGATTATTTAAAACATTACTTGATGATTTCTTTTATTCACATGAACGTGCTGATATACAATTATATGCAGCTATTTGTCTTGCGGATATTATTCGTATATATGCACCTAATCTACCTGATGCATCACCAGAAAAAATGCTTGTAAAAATTAGTTTGTTTTTTTTTTATTAATTAAAAATTTTTTTTTTGTTTCTAAATAGAATATGTTTCTTTTTCTTGCTCGTCAATTAATTGGATTAAAAAAAATTGATGATACATTATTTACACGACGATATTATTTACTTGAAGTAAAAACAAAAAAATAAGATTTTATTTTTTATAATTTTTTTCTCTGTGTATAGAATTTAAGTATGGTTCAATCATTTATACCAGCTGTTAATCTTGAAGATAATCGTGGTTGTCAAATAAGTACAATTGTATTTACTAATTTATTTAATGCTGTACAGTATGTTTATTTTCTTTTTTTTGTGATGGAAATATTTGAAAAAAAATTAAATGTTTTTTTTTTTTTTTACAGAAAAAAACATTCAGATCAATTAAAAAATTTAATGATTGAAATCGTTTCAGTTATTTTAGCTGAATATGAAACAATACCATTTTCATTATTAGAAATACTTTTTGCAAGAATTATTGATCCAGAAAAGGTAATACAAAAAACAAACGCTATCGAATTAAGTAATGTTTATTAATTTATTTCTGCAGAAAAAAAACAAGTTTTTGTATTTGTAGAGTAACTTTTTTGGCTTGATTAACAATATATATGTATTTTTAGCAATAATAAATAATGAAATATATTGAGGTCAAACTATAATGTGTTTTATTGACTTGAGCATTTTGTTTTTAGAACAAATGAATATATTATATATATATATATATATATGGGATGTAAAGAATCTTTTAGTGAAAGAAAAAACAACATAAAAATACAAGTTCTTTTTATTTCGAGCTATTTCTGTCTAGAGACAGATCAATCTAAATAAGTATGCATTGATTTTGCACAACGGAAATCTTCATTCTAGAAGCTTTCATAGATTTACGAAGAGTAAAATATATTTTGAAAGTTGTTTATCTTCAGAACTATGATTATGCCTTTAATTTGATTGATATATTGTTTTCAGGGAGTAAGTAATTTACATTATAAAAAAAAACAAACCCATCCGATTTATTAGTCGTTGAATAGTTACGCCTCTTTATTACGTCGTATATGCAATAATTCCAAGCTATTATTAGAAAACTGTCTACCAAATTTTTAGTCTCAAAAAACTATCGAGAGTCCTACATAGAAGTCAATGACTTCATATTTACTAAGTGAAAATATAAATAAAAATGAATCTGTACTCAATTTATGATATGTTTTTCTTATATTGAGTATCATGGCTATCAAATGAAAAGATGAAAAGAAAAATCTATGTTGAATAGAGTTAGCAGATGAAGAATAGTAAACGATCATACATATGATAATCGAAAATGAAACAAAAAGCTCAAAAAGTATGAACATATTGTTAAATAAGTAATCTAGTTTGACATGAATTCTAACGCGTACTTTCCATCTTAAGCTATTCATGAACTAAACTCCTTTCAATCGTCTCCAGTAAAGATCTAAACGATTGATTAGAGTATAATAGAAAAAGAAACACTATACCAAAGTGTTAAATTTTAACCATTCGAAGCGCCATAAAATAGGAAAAAATCCAAACGAAACAATTGTCGATACAATTGAATAAGATTTTAAGCATGAGAATTCGAGATCGAATTCTTTTACATTAGTAGACAATGGTACTTTTTGATAGTTATACGAAAGAAATAATTTTATAACATGATTATATAATATTCAATAAACTACATTCTTTGTAGAAATTGCGTGAAGAATGTTATGAATTAGTAGAAGCAATTATACGTCGATGTGAATCATTTCTAAAACCAGTTATTGTTGATGTAAGTTTCTTCTTATTTTCTAATTTAATCTTTATGAATTAATTTATTTCAATTGTCTATTATCATCTAGTATTTCAAAGCTGTTCTAATAACAGAAGATACTGAATTCTTACATTTACATACAAAAATTTATAATATATTTGATGCATTATGTC